CTAGGAGCAAAGTTTACCCCACCCCCACCCCTTGAGGTCTTTCACTGCCAGGCTCCTTTCCCCTTTGTTTAATGGAGTTGCCTATACAACTTCTGTTTCCAGCCTCTCCCCATGCCTTTAGTTCCACTTGGTAAGCCCTGATGGGGCATCTGGGGACAGGGGCTTGGATCCCCACGAGGAGAGCCTTGGGTATAATCTATTTTTCTAGTAGCCCCTTACCTTTTGTCACTTATCAGCTTTTGCCCTCTGCTTTGATAGCTGAGGTCAAATTATGTTCTAGGGAAAAGGGAGAGGTGGGTTGTGTTGTGGAAATGAATAAAAGTTTATTTGCTTCTGTGGAGTGCATTCCTTCAGATGAGCAGAAACTGAAATGTAACATAAATCATTTGATTCTTTCCTTCCCCACAGTAACCCATTCCCCTCTAGTAAATAAAGATGCCACAAAACCAAGGTAGCTTCTACCTGGTTAATTTACCTTTCAGATTCTTGCCTTCTGGATGGACCCATCACATTTGGAAGTTTCTTACCTGGCAGAATCCTGTTTGCTTAAGGATTTAACCCCCTCCGGCCCATTTGAATAAGTAGCTCTGGTGGTGTAGTGGATAAGGCATTTGGCTGCTAACCAGGTCACCTGTTCAAACCTAGTAGCTGTTCCATGGAAGGAAGATGGGGCAATCTACTTCATAAAGATTTACAGCTTCAGAAACCCAATGGGGTCACTAAGAGTCAGAACCAAGTTGATGGTAGTGAGCTTTGGTTTGGCCCATTTGAATACCCTTAGTTTCTTACTGGCACAGCCTTAAGTAGCTACTTGAAGATTATTTGCCATTTCCTTTCTACCCTTGCTCCTAAGTCTCAGGCCTGTGCAATTTTCCAGGGAATCTCCAAACACGTGCCCAGGATCTAGAAACAATACATTCTAAAGTTTTTGTGTGTAAATGTACCTAGTCAAGAAAGTCCTATTTGTGAACTTTTTGAGCCCCATAAAGTTGAAGTGAGACTTCATTACCAGAGTTAAATAAGTAGAAAATGGAGGGTCCATGGGTTACTTCATTAGGCTGCATTTGTCTTAATCCACTGCTTAACAAAATTGTGCAGAGGAAATGGCAAGAGTTTTACTTTGTGAACTAGGTTTGAATTATTCCATGCCTATGTTAAGACTGGAATCTCAGGTCCCACCAGACTACCTGCAATCAGAATTTGCACCAGGTGATTCTTAAGCATAATAAAGTTGAAGCAGATTTGTCAGTTTTATCATTATTTAGGAATAGCTCAAGCCTATGCAACACAATTTTTAATCTCCAAGGAGTGACCAGTAAGCAGCATCACAGTAAATGGAAGCAATATTGAAGCTGTTAAAGATTTTACTGTAAAAGGCTACAAATCTTCATGGAAGTAGATTGCCCCATCTTCCTTCCATGGAGCAGCTGGTGGGTTTGAACCAGTGACCTGTCAGAGATTTCCTTGTATGGATACATCATCAACACCCATGGAAATAACAGTCAAGAAATCAAGTCTATTTCACTGGCAAATCTGCTGTAAAGGGCCTCTTTAAAGTGTTAAAAAAGCAAAGATAGCACTTTGAAGATAATCCCAATATCCTCACATGCATGTAAAAGCTGGACAATGAGTAAGACAGACTGAAGAGTTGATGCCTTTCCATTGTGTTGGTAGAATACCGAAAATACCATTACCAGAACAAACCTGTCTTGGAAGAAGTACAGCCAGAATGCTCCTTTAGAAGTGACAATGGCCACTTTTTGTCTCACCTACTTTGGTCACATCAGAAAGGACTGGTCCCCTGGAAATGGGTGTCATGCTTCATAGATCATCAAAAAAGGGGAAGACTTTCAATGAGATGGACTGAGACAGTGGCTGCAATGATATGCTCAAGTAAGGACTGTGAAGATACTGCAGGACTGGGCAGTATCTTGTTCTGTTGTACACGGGGCCGCTATTAAGTCTGAGGTGATTCACAGTACCTATTAAGGAGAGGAGTAAAGGTGGCAACTCTTCTGGTGAGTTAACTTTATTGCAAATTAAGGATTTTTTTTTTTTTTAATTTCCATTTTAACCCCAAGACCAGGTGGAGACTAACTTGAAGTTTCACAAAGTTTTCGAGTTTGTAGAACGTCAAAAGTTTTTAGTACTTTTATTAGATATCCGAGTTGGATTTCACCAACTCTTTTTTTTTTTCCCCTTAAAAACAACAAACCACTGATTGTAGCTCCTTTTCCCAATTACATTTTCCATAAGTTTTAGGCCCTTAAAATCTATAGGTTCTAAGAATCTATACCTGAGTTATGAACAACTAGGATGAGCCAAGTTTGGGAAACCTTATCCTACCATAACTTTACAGGAACATCACATCAGATTCTAGTAATAGTACAGGAAGCCCACAGAAACTAGTATCAAAGCCTTGTTTACCTGTTTCATCACCTGCTTTCAGTATACCAGTTATGTCTAATAAAGAGATTTTTTTTTTTTTTTACCCATAAGCAGTATGTACAGAAGTGGCTGTTTTGATTAAAAAAACAAACAAAAACCACAACACTACTTTCTGAAAATCAGCCAATTTTTTTTTTATTTCTAAAGTTCTGCAGTTCATTTCTACCGAGTACCTATGGTCACCTGCCATACTCGCACCAGGTTATCTGTGTAGCCAGCAAACAAAGTCTGTAAAAAAATAGAAATTATCTGATTATATCAGGTAGAAACCATAGAACACTACAGTCCACTAGACAGCAAAGATAGCATTTCTTTTGGTTGTTGACCAGTTAAGAAATAACTGATGGTAAGTACTTTACACTCTCTTAAGACTTTAACTGAAGTGCAGGTTTGCCCTCCAGTATTTCCTCATGTATGAACATGTACTAAATAAGCATGGCTAATATTTTATCTTTTCACTTTTCGTTAAAGACAGTGGTCCTGTTACAAATTAATCATACCAAGAGCAAAAACTGTAGAAGCTGAGCCACAAGAGAGGATAGACAGACCAACTTACCTGGCCATCAGCAGACCAGGCCAGAGAGGTGCACTGGGGTGGCTCGGCTTTGCTGCTGGTGCTGATAACTTCTTGTTTCAGTTCGTCTACAATGATCTTGCCCTCCAAGTCCTAGGAAACAGGGTAAAGACATCTGTAAACTATAATGCCACTGATGAATCTCTAATGGAGGCCAAACTAAAAGCTCTCCAAGCTGTTTTTTTTTCCACTCAAGAGAGAGGTCTTCTCACTCAACAACTACCAGTAGTTCAATAGGGAAGGCTGTGCCACCTAC